GTGCTCTGCTGAACACTGATAGGAGTCACAAGACTACTATTTACTGCTGATGAGAAAAGGTATTTAGCAGTTTATATTTATTCAATTAATTGAATTTCCACTTCACTGTACTGTGGGAGACCAGATATAGTAAATGCAGGGTCCTGGGTTTAGCATCAGTTTAAGGTAAAAAAAAACCTTACAATAGCTGTGCCCGGCTTCAGTTCTTCTCTCTCCCCTCTTCCTTCTCTCACAAGTTTCACTGAGAGCAATGGAAGCCATTGGCTCCTTCTGTTGGCAGTCAAATCATGTGCGGAGGGAGCAGGGGGGCAGGGCCTAGCCATGTTGTGTGTCTATGGATGCACACAGCCTGGCTTGAGAGCAAGCCCTCACGTCTGCCCTCATAGAAAGCCGCTTGGGCAGACACAGAAGAGGAAGAGTGACGGGGGACCCAAGAAGAGGAGGTTTGGGTATGTTCTGTGCAACACCCTTGCACAGATCAAGTAAGTACAGTATAACGTTTGTTATTTTAAGAAAAAAAAAAGCAGCCTTTAGAAGCACTTATATATATGTGAACCCTTACGTTGTGAAACGTAAGTTTTCAGTTTAAAACAGAAATGATAGGCAAAATATTTGTGTATATATTATATACTGATATTCCCAGTGATTAGCTGTGCATTGTGGTGTGTGTGCACAAGTCTTGGCTATTGCAGCATAGACAGGCTGTGCTCCCAGCACTTGCAGTGGTCAGTTTGAAAATGGAAAGCAGGGAGACTGGCAGGAGCACCAGATATTTCCCACAAAGGGAGAAATGCAAAGAGAACTTTTTAACACAGACACATATCAGGAATATGTTGGGGGTATCATATTCTTTAGATAACAAAATCTGAACTGCGCTGAACAAAATTACCATGCATTAACCACTTGACTACCAGGCTATAGCCGAATGACGGCTACAGCACGGTCCTCCAGTTCTGGGAGGGCATCATATGAGGCATATGTCTCAGCCGGTGCACTCTGTCATCGCTGTGTCCATTGGCCACAGCTGATCACAGTAAAGGGCCAATGCCAGGAATTTTTTTTTTCTTTCAAAAATAAAAAACCCATTGGTGATTAAATACCACCAAAAGAAAGTTCTATCTTTATCTATGATAAAAATTTTGTTTGGGTACAGTGTTGCCTGACCGCGCAATTGTCATTCAAAGTGGGACAGCGCTGAAAGCTGAAATTTGGCCTAGGCAGGAAGGGGGTTGAACGTGCCCAGTAGGCAATTGGATAATTGATCGTCTTGAGATCTGATAGATCCTTTTCAAAATCAAATGACAAAATGGTGAAAAGTTGGTAAATTAGGAAAACTTATTTTAACTGAATGAATGAACTAATATATAAACCAGATGCAATATCAGGGGAATGTAGATGCAACACTACATCAAGAAGAAAATCCATGCAGAATATTCATACAATGAAAGCCACAGTGTATCATATTCTTTTGTTAGGTACCAGCAAAGTACCAAGCGACAAGCAAAATGGGTGTTATAGTGCAAAGTCAAAAGTTATACACAAATACATTTAGCTTTTGCTGTAATCCAGATTTTAAAAAGTTTTTCCTCTGATCCCATGTAGGTTACTGGTGTTCACATATCAGGAGAGTAAAAGTAATTCTCACTGGGGACTTCACAGCAAGTCACGCATGTCTGTTGTTATTTTGATGTCTGACAGGTCACAGGTGACTCAGAACAACAGACCTATGTGCACATTTCAAAGACTATAGAACTGTGCAGCAAAAAAAGAGCTAGAAACTGATCTAATGAGGGCAGGATTACCAAGGGTAGCATTTTACAAAAACCTTGGATACAGTATGTTGGAGTTGTAATAAAACATGTTTGGATTCCCAGATGCAGCATTGTCATAGCTAAAATCCTCGAAATGTATTTGGAGCCAAAATATTGGGTGGGAATAGTTTAAAACCCCTGTCGATTTTATACTACTATCCAGAGCTCCACTGTCAGGGATTTACACTCGCTTCCTGTCCTAATGACAACATTTTACCAGACAGGAAATGAAGGGAACTCCCTGACAGCAACACAGAAATAAAATGTTTTTCTTTGATACAGTAGGGGAAGGCTTCAGGTCCTAAGATTTATCATTTTCTCTTTGTCACTGTTGCAGCTGTTCTCTCATTTCTTATCAGGGGAAAACAGAAGCAGAAAAGGAAGTAAATCTCCCCAACGGAGCCCTGGATAGTAGTGAAAACCTGACAGCTGTTCTAATCCTCCCCAACAAAATCAGAAACACAGTTTTTGGCTTGACACACACTTTAATAATATAAAAGCAAAGTTCCAATTTGGTTTTGTCATCATAGTTTCATTTTGCCAATGAGTGATTCTGCCAACAGTAGTGATTTCTCCTTCCTGTCTGTCTGACCCTCTGGCACCCTCACACTCTGCACCTTTGCTATTGCCCAAATACATCGTATCATGTTGTGCCCACTCCATTAATTCCTTAAACCAGGGTTTCCACTGTAGGCTGCCTTCTCTGCCCCTACCCCCCGGATTCTTGTATGCCAGTCCTGCCAATGCTGCTCCCAAGCCCTCTGGAAGTAGATGGTGAGCATCAGCAGAGCCTAGCACATCCCAGCACCCTGCCCCAGGTCCCCAAGGCAGTTTCAGGGAGCTGTGGTTCCTGCCAGTGGCCGACCTTCCCATTCTTGGCGCAGTGCACACAAACCCCTATCCTAATTACTCTGCACACACATACTAACTCCTCCAGGTCTGCACCACTTCACACACCACATCTGCCCTTGCCTGTTCTGACTCTCTTCAGATATTTGTCCTCCCCCTGACCCAGGTCCTGCTTCTCATCACACACAGCACAACTCTCCCTTGTGCTCATTGCTGCTGGTTCTATGTGCTCATTTCTCTACCCACACACCTCTACTGCCAGCTGTATTGACCATCTCTATACTACTGCTATGCTTCACACTTGTCTCTCTCTAACTCCTCCCCCTGAGGAGCGGGTTATACTGCTGATCTGCACACTACTGGTGCTGCACCCCCCTCTCCCCCCAAACACAGATACAGTTTAAATGCCCCTGGTTGCAGCTGACAGCCAGTTACACACTATTGTTGTTCCCCACGTCTTGCTGGCTCTTCTCTTTACATATCCAGCACCAGCCTCTTACTACTGTACACTCCCCTCATATCGTGAATGCCCTGCACACAGCTACCGTGCATATTTGCACATGCACTGCCCCCCCCCCCACACAAACATATCATACACTGCTTTTGTCTCCTTTGCAGACCTCCCTCCTGGCCCTGGCTCCCCTGCACACTGCTTCAGCTACTCTGCATGCACACGCCCCTGCGTGCTCTTCCATACACTAGTCCAGCTTAGGGTTGCCACCTTTTCTTCAAGCAAAACCTGAACACTTTAACGGTGCATATATTTTGTGATTAAACAACATTTCTAATCACAAGAGACCCCCTTTACATCAGAGTCCACAAAATTCCCCTTTAGATCTGAATCCACAGAGTTCCCCTTTACATCTGAATCGGCAGAGTTTTCCCTTACATCTAAATCCACAAAGTTCCCCTTTACATCTGAATCCACAGAGTTCCTCTTTACATCTGAATCGGCAGAGTTTTCCCTTACATTTAAATCCACAAAGTTCCCCTTTACATCTGAATCCACAGCGTTCTCTTACACTGACTTTGCAGACTCTGATGTAAGGGAGAACTCTGGGGACTCTGATTTAAGGAGGAACACTGAGAACTCTGAGGTAAGGAGGGGGATTCTGATATAAGGGGGTCTCTGGTATCCAGAGCAAGGGCGGACTGACAACTCATGGGGCCCCGGGCAACATAGGGGATCATGGGGCCCCTGTGTCCTCGCTCACACTCAAACCACACCTAAAATAGCCTATAAAAGTTACCAGGGGCATTTCTTGGGGACCCCTACTGACGCCGGGCCATCGGGCAGTGCCTGAGTGTTTGAATAGTCAGTCCGCCCCTGATCCAGAGCAGCTACTTACATCATAATTTCCAGCATTCCCCTTTAATCAGGGTTCCCATGGCCCTTCTTACATCAGAGGCTGCAGAGTTCCCCCTTTACATCTGAATCCACAGAGTTCCCCCTTACATCTGTGTCTGCAGAATTTCCACTTGCACTGTAAGTGGGAGCTCCATGAACTCTAATGTAAAGGGGAACTCTAATGTAAGGGGTGCTCTGGGAACCTTGATGGGGGGGGGGGCTCTGATATAAGAGGGGACACTGCGGACTCTGATGTAAGGGGGTGTCTGCTCACCAAAGCCCCCTTGACATCAGAGTCTGCAGACTCCTTCCTTACATCAGAACCCCCCCTTACATTAGCCGATAAAGCCAAACGGTTTTTTTTATTTGCACCTATATTATGCAATGGTTAAAACTGCTTTTAGGGGTTTTTTGTCCACGTCTTACTTATTTCCTTTCATTTTCACAAAGACTCCAACAGCAGGAAGTGAAAGAAAACCTGTCAAAATAAGGCAATCTTCCAGATCTTTGGAAGATTTCACTTTATCTCCTGTTCCTGTGACAACTTAAATATTTTGGGACAAATATAGAGGTTGGATCTCCTCAGGGGACATAGTCAACAATAAAAATCTGACAGGGGTCTAACCCTTCCACACTATTCAAAACTAAAAATAAAAGTTTTGGGAATTCATATGCTTTATGAAGCTGTAACAAAGCTTGGTGTTGCTTTGGACGTCAGACATTTGGGCAGAAACCTAAAAATACCAGCTGTGATAATTTGATTTTCTGTGAGCAAATAATGCTTTAACTACCCTTCACAGTTAGAAACTGTCCAGTGAAGGAGGAACAGTTCCTGATATATCTTTTCACAGACCAACATAAAAATATCACATTGGATAAAATGTGATTACAAATATCACATTTGATCAAATGTGAATGATATCCGGAATAAAAGCACCATTACTTCTGATTTTTCTTACGTAAATATTACTAAACTTACTATGACAACTTACCTGCATGCGGTTCAGTGATACCCAGCAGTTGTCAGGAAAATCTTGCAACATGGGCACTAAAAACTGCAAGCAGCCATCCCAGTGGCAAAGCAGCAACATCATGCCAATCAGATTAACAATGCGTACTACAGCACTTGCCAGGTCATAAGTCATGTGGAAAATCTACAGAGAAAAATATTCAGAATTAACAAACGTATGGAGCCAAACCTAGGTGTGCATGACAATGGTAGTGATCAGGTGAAAGACGTAATCCATCTGAGAAGGGTTATATACCTTGTCATGTGTTGCAGAAGCAAAGCGTGAGTATTAATTTCATTTTTTTTTTTCTTTTTTTTTATGAATCAAAATTGCAATATCAATCTGCAACATTTGTAAGACTAGAAATGCATTCAGGCAAAACCAGAAGACTTACCTCCTCCCATTGATGAATGTACCGGATGAGCCTGGAAAGTCTTAAGAGACGTAGCAAACTCAGCACTTTAGTGAAACGGACAATTCGTAAGGCCCTGGCAGTCTTATAAACCTCTGAGTCAATACGTGTTTCTACAATAAGAAATATATAGTCCACAGGAATGGAGGATACAAAGTCCACAAGGAACCAACTTTTTAGATAGCGAATCTTGATACGTTGTGGATCCAGGATAATTTCTGTATTGTCTTCTACTACTATGCCCGTTCGAAAGTTCAGTACCAGATCCACAAGGAAAAAGGTGTCAGAGACAACATTAAACACAATCCAAGCTGGGGTGTTCTCCTCCTTAAAGAAAGTGATGCCCACTGGAATAATGATGAGATTTCCCACCATAAGCAGTAACATAGTGAGGTCCCAGTAAAACCTGTTAGGAAAAGAAAACACCGTAAGTGCATACTCAACAGATTCACACAACAGCATACTCATAGTATGTGGGAAATATATTTATGCCGCAAGAAATGTATGATCAACTAACTTTTTCTAGTTTGTTTCCATGATGCATTCATAAAGCAAGAGAGTTCTGGTATTAGGTACACACAGTACGTGACTATCCATTGCAGATTGTCCTTCACTCTTACTTTTTATCATAAAAAAAAAATAACAAGCTATGAGATGGAAGTGAAGGGTACAAAGAATAAAAGCTTGAGATGGAAATCGCATTAATCATTGTGGAACAAGGCCAGAAATGTCAGAGCCATATGTAAAGAGCTTGTACATGATATTAGGCCATTAATAGAGGATGAGATGGAAGGTACTTATTAAAAGGGTTTTTTAATTTTCAAGAAAAGTTGAAAACCCCTTCAGTGTAAGAGTAAAGGGAAGTATCTTGCCCACCCCCACACACAGATACACTTGCTGAAACCCTGATGATTAGATAAGACAGCCTGCACCTTAGAACTGGACATTTTTCCTGATTCAGAGAGCTATTGACTTTAATTAGGCTTCTACAGCCAAAGGTACACTGTTTTTTAACATTGACAACAAACCCACAATGATGGCAATTGCAGCTCTGGAAGTACCTCCAGTCAGCTGATTGGCAGGTCTGACAAAACATCCACTGGTCTTCCACTGAAACGGTTTAACACTTTTTGTCTACAAGTGCAAATTTGTTTTCATAATGAGGATTTCAATGCATTATATATTATCAGTTGTAAGTATGCTTATAATAAAAAGGATAGCATTAGGAATAAAGCAAAATGGGAAAATCTGATGATTTTTCAGAGGTAAGGGGCTTTGGGCTATGGTGTCAGTGATCACTGGGATGTAGTAATGGGCAAATGAAATTTGCTTACAACTGAAATCAGGTTTAGGATGTGACTGTTCAGAGTTCATTCACAGGTGCGGTTGGACTGCAGATGACCTTCTCTTGCATTTCTATTGACTTTTGTAGGGAGAGAAGCAGTTATGGTGCAAACAACAGCCCATCAACATGGGCTATCTAAACGGCACACTGGTATTACATGAGCCCTGGCCTAATACCAATAAAAAGAGAAACTATAGCAGACAATGAGGTAGATTTACTAAAACAGGTGCACCCAGAATCTGGTGCAGCTACACATGGTAGCCAATCAGCTTCCAACGTCAGCTTGTTTAATTAAGCAATAAAACCTGAAAGCTGATTGCTTTATATGCAGAGTTGCACCAGATTTTGCACTCTTCAGTTTTAGTAAATAACCTCCCAATAAGACAAAAAAAAAAACTATACAAAAAGTACTCAGCACACACTCCAGGTAGTCTACACAAAAGCTTCGGCTTAACGACTTCAGTTAATGCTGAAAGTTTGGAGTTTATTACCCTTTATTGGTCAACCTAAGTTGTTAACTATGTAACCTTTCTGGGCCAATCTCTTCTTCAGGGTTTATACAGTTGTATAAATTATCAACTTTCTGCATAAATCAGTGGCTAAAATGGTAGAAGACTCTTCAACATTTTAGATAATAACAGTGGTTTTTCTTGCATACATTTGCAAATACATGCAAAGTTGCACTGCCATATTATGACAGCTTCCCAAAGTGTGTCCTCTAATATATTAATATATCTGAATTCCGGACCTGAAACATATAGAGCAGAGGTATGCCCAGGATGTAGCCCCCTCCACCTTATAGGTAGAGCAACACACCATAAGCCTAGACTTGCTCAAGGCAGCTAAAGTTCCCTAGTGTGTTTCAGAACCAAAACCAACCAGCCAAAATTAATGCTACTCAGATCAAGTTATAACTAGCAAAAGGAAAGGTGCACATATGTAGCACAATAATACACACAAAACTAAAATTTCTCAACACACACTCCAAGCATTCCGCACAAAAAGGTATACTGTATCAGTTTCACTATATATATATATATATAAAGTATATTTCTGAGATACCCAAAAATTACAAGTTTAACATGTTCTAACTTTATGTATGTGCTTGCTTTTCTCCCTAATGTTCCATTTAATTTGAGATGGCTGAAAGTGAATAGTTAAAGTTTCTTGTTAAAGTAGGTATAAACACAATTACTAAACCATATAATCTTTAATATGTTATTGTGATTTCAAAAGTAATTTTAAAAGTTTTAAATCTACAACTTTCGTTAAAATTACACCCGGTTGCCCCCCCACAAAAGTCCTTGTTCAGGTACCTACAGAGTTATGAGGTGACATCTCACTGTTTCTCTCTCTTGCTTTCCTGTGTTGTCACTCTGTTACATGCTGTGTCTTAGGAGACTATAGGTGGTTATGTCAACACTATGTGCACTAGAAGCACAATCCTCCATTGGCAGCAACAGGAAGCTTGCCAAGAGCAACGGTGCACAGCTATGGTAGCCCTTGTGTAGACAGAAAGTTGCTGCAATGAGGATGGAGCAGATAAGTGGCACTGAGATGCAACATAGAATACAAAACAGTAAAAATGGAATTTTCAAAAAGAAAAAAAAAAACAAATATCAAATAGTTTATGATACAGTGAGGGAGATTTACTAAAACTGGTTCTCAGAATCTGGTGCAGCTTGGGTTTATATATAACCTAAAAAGTTACTTGATTCTCTTTCTTTTGACCTTAAAGTATACTGTATGTTACCCCAACATTTCATTTTTCTCATATGTGTCTGTTGTACCATGTACTTGTTTTAAAATGTACCCTGTTCTCTTTGAATTGCTTCCTTCATGTGAAATGTCTGGTGATCCGCCAGTCCCCTTGCTCTCCTGTTTCAAACTGACCATGATAGACATGGAAGCACATCCATCCCAGTGTGGTCAGTGCTCTGACTATGCTAGGAGCACAGCATGTCTGTTCTCCAATGGTCAAATTTCTGTTGACATGCCCCACTGCACAGCTAATCACTGGGAAGATCAATGCACCTCTGTTCCTCTGTCATTTGCAGAGACATGCTCCTGCAGTTTCCATCCCCAGCTCTCTAAGCCCCTTATGCATCTGAGAACAGTGGTTATGCTATAATTTATTCAACATGAAAATATAACACACACATGTATGAAAAATAAAAAAAAAATATATATATATTTTATTGTGGTGGGAGGTAGCTGAAGTGGGAATCATGTTCCCTGGTAAAAAGGCAGTCCAAACGGAGCGTCTTTTCTCAAAATTCTGACTTGTAGTGAGCTTTATTTAAAAAGGCTGCAAACAAACCAACAAAACAGAAAATAAATGCTTGACATCCAGCCACTAACTAATCTGTGCAGATTCCACTCTGACATGTGAAGGGCTTTCCTCAGTCACAAGTGGGAAGCAAAACCCGTCCAGATCCCACACTGCCAAGGTGGCCCGGAAAGCCCAGACTGGATTAGTTTCCCACATACAGTATGAAAGCATGTAAGGTGACACATAGTGCCCCTTAACCACCTCATCTTTCATTATGTCAATATACAGTATATACACGCACACAATTTTTTTGCCTTTCAAAATAATACAGAATGGGTTGTTTTACAAGGTGATTGTTCATATATACTTAATGCTCAGATTACCCAATAAAATGTCAGCCTAAGTCTTGTCCCATTTACTATATTTGCTGGCTGAAAGTGTCCCTTTGTCTAAGCAGTAGCCCTTTCCTTGCACAATACGTGATGTGAAGGCTAGATGGCTTCAACCAGAGAGATTTATGTCCAGTCCCTTTACAGTAGTAGTGCCTTTATTGCCCTGATAGTGGACCTGGTCATGTACCAGATAATTGAACTGACCAGCACATGACTGAATCTGAAATACATATATCACCCAAGCCAAATTTCCAGATAATCCTGGCAACTGGTTGTGTCATGACAGATAACTATATACACTGGCATCTACTATGCATGCAGTTCAATATTTCATTGCTGTCAAAGAGATAACAGCTGGCAGTTGGAATCACTTTCACCCCAGATATATGGAAATTATAAGTAAATTACTTTTTAAATGACTGAATCTGACAAGATAACTGGTCCATGTATGATCACCTTTATTCAACCTCAATTCGTTATCTCCGCAAACGCATCACCAATCACCAATTAAGGTATAAGGTGTTAAGTAAGCCGTGTTGACTGACAGTGATTTCTCTGTGGAATGGATTCACAATCTGTTCTCCTTCAAGAAAGGATGGAGGCATGCTACTTGTTTACATAAATTTAATATTTTACAGCTAATTATATTAGAACTAGTTTTTGAGAACTTCCTTTTGCTCAATGTAAAAATTACATACTTGACAAATACGTATTATTATTATTACTGGTTTCTCCATTGATTAATATGGCTTTAAGAAGACCTAATGTTTTAAGGAAGGATGTTCTTGTAAATTGAGCAGTTTTATTATTATGATTTTTTCCAATTGACACTATTACCTACTTTCCTTGCAATACAAAAGCATGCAATCAAATCCAGCCTGTTGCTGTATGACAGCACAACTTAAGCCTTGTACACAAGATGAGAATATTAGACGAATGATCATCCGTTTTTTTTTTTTGCATGCTAGTCTCATATAAAAAATGAACTAAAGGCAAACCTGAGAACAAACAGAAGGATGAAAGTGTGGCAATATCATCTGCCGCTCTGTAAAAGGTGAGAATTCCCAAGAAAAAAACAATGCAAAAATTCCCTAGCACACTTTCCATCTATTCAGCACACAAAACGTTTTTTTTTTTACCTTTTTCATCAAAAAAAGCTCCAACTACATTATGGGGGCATTTTTTTATGTATCTGTGAGACAGAAGTGGTTAGATGTGGGCTCCCTCTTTAGTATAACTATATTGCTCTAGGAATTTTTTGTCATGTATTAAATGTTTATTTATAATGTTATAATACAGTATAGCCCAATATGAATAAAAAATGATTGCTGCACATCCCAGTCTTCTTTTATTTGGTATCAGAATGACCTTTGCATGA